AGTATGTCATGATATATTGTGAAATATTTATTTCTAATGAAAAATAAATGAAATGTTGTCTTGAAGCATGGTGTAGCATGGATAACAGTCTTCACGCCGGGTACTCGTATGTGGGCATATCTGCATGTGGGTGGACCCGCCTGGAGACAGATAGAGGAGCAGTGTTTCAGTTCCTAAGACCATCAGAAATATGTTTTCCGTTGGTCTTAGGCAACCCCTGTGAAATGGTCGTTCAACCTCCAAAGGGGTTGCGATAAACCATGGTTGAAATCTAGAAACCGTTGGAAGGTGTGTTAGACAGGGTTCTTTAGAGAAACAAACCCAGGACACTTATGATTAGATAGATAGATAGAACAGGAAGAAATAAACAGCTAATTAGTCCACAGAGCAGTACAGAGGGCTCAGGTCAACTCACGAGGGCTGCTGGGTGCAAGTCAAGGAAGCAGACAGCTGAGTCTTCTGTAGAGCAATACAGGCAGTCCAGCCAAAGGCAGCAAACAGCAGGGCGGGTCACTAACAGTCAGCCAGAGGACAGGGTCCAACAGTCCCCAGTGATGTATACACCACCAGTGTGGCGAAGCAGGTCTCAAAGGAACCTCAAACTATAGCAGCAACACAGTCCACGGGTTGGGCGTAGTGTAGCTTACAAGTTGAGGCAGAGAACTAGCTAAGGCAGCCGAACACTGGTCCAATCATCAGAGAGCAAGAGACAGAAAGGCGAGGCTTGTTGAGCCATTTATCTCTTTGTCCTTCAATTAAACTGCGACCTTATTAATCTCACCTGTGTTTATTGGCCAGGTTGGCACAATAAACCTACCTACCACAGAAGGAGACCATAGAATCACTATTGTTGAGTTAGACACTGGGCTCTCACATGGCTTTGCATTTTGAGTTGTAAGCAAACCTCTTGGCCTCAGGAAGCTTTCAGCTGAATGGATGTCAAAGTGAAGATCAGCTCAAGAAACTTACCTCACCATCAGTCTTTTGAAGTAAGGTTGAAGCTAGTGAAGGTGATGTGTATGAAACAAATCGTACCTAGGGATATAGCTGGAATTTGCCAGTAGAATTCAGAGAGTAAGGTCCAATCAAGACAGTGGTTTTGGGGGGAATCTACTGAGCCAGTTAAATTCAAGGTAGAGAAGTCAGTTCAGAAGGTTATGGTGACAGGGGCAGGATTTCAAAGGGGTAATCTTAATAAAAATTTTCCCCTCAAATACACAGGATAATCATGGAGGCTTGTTATGAATAAGTTTTAAAGAAAATTGAAAACTGAATTGGTTAGGAAAAAAAGCTAGACCTTTTTTCCCACCACAAGAGTGAGCACCTGCCCATGCTTCAAGGGTAGCAAGGGCTGTCCTACAAGTTTTCCTTGGGAAACCCCAAGCACCCCATTATTCTGGTCTTTCACCTTAGACTCCTCTTTGTTACTGAAACTCAGAATGTCTCAAAGGAGCATGCTTGGAGTCCCTAGAGGAGTCCAGAACTGCCAGTTTGACACGGTGTGAACTGAAGAGAGCATAATTCTTCCTGGGAGAGTCAGAGAGGCAAAAACACCTTCAGGAATGTAGACGCCTAGATAGAGGATGTGTGGAGAAATAATAGTTTTGCCTTTTTGTAGCTTTGTTGAATAAAGGTTTCTGTGATTTTTGTAACAACACTTGACGTGCCCTCATCTGCATACACTTAAACACAGGCGAAAGAATGAACGTACATCCAGCAAACAGCATGATTTCAGGGCAGGGGCTAGAATTGAGGAAAGTCAAAGGAAATGGCGTATTTGAACTTTATGTTAAAGAAGTGTTTTTACTGTAACAAATTAATAATTTTTAAATTAAAAAATAAAGAGCCAAATCATTCTTTGATGGTTTGTAATTAAAATGTTCAAGATCAAATTAAAATCTGAGTGTAGCTACAGCTTCCTGTTAGCTATCCTACAGAAATTCAGTGGAAGGCGGTTAGATAAATAATATAATCACTTGAACATGACTTATGCCTTTGACCTTTCACATTCAAGCTCTGGCATATTTTAAATCATTGGCACAGCCCAGGAGGCATCTGGCATGTCAGCCAGTCAGGGTACATGTGAGTAGATGGCTTAACTATCCCATGTTCTGGCCCACAGGAGGCTCTGGAGGCATGCCAGACCCGAATCTCCAAGATGGAGCTACAGCAGCAGCAGCAGCAAGTGGTGCAGCTGGAAGGGCTAGAGAATGCCACTGCCCGGAATCTTCTGGGCAAACTCATCAACATCCTGCTTGCTGTCATGGCAGTCCTTTTAGTCTTTGTCTCCACGGTGGCCAACTGTGTGGTTCCCCTTATGAAGACTCGCAGCAGGACGTTCAGCACTTTATTCCTCGTGGTTTTCATTGCCTTTCTCTGGAAGCACTGGGACGCCCTCTTCAGCTACGTGGAAAGGTTCTTCTCATCCCCTAGATGATGCTGGGGGAGGAGGCAGCCGCTCCCCTATCCTCTGGTGAGTGCATGCAGCGCAGAACTAGACAACAATTTAACCTACTCTGAAGTTTTCTACAACAAGAGTTGAGTGAATCTGTTTACATTTAGAATAATGTTTTTGTTTTTTTTTGTTTTTTTCTTCAAGAGACACAATTGCAATAGTATTTTATAGATTTTATCCAAGAAGTTTTTTTGGCAAAAATCTTGGATCATTTTTATGTAGCATGATTTTCCTTGGGATGCAAATCTTAAACAGTCCTTTCATATGAACTAACAATCTGGAGCACACTGAAGGGCATTCTACGTTGTGGCTTGAATGACTGCACTAAACAACCCACACAAAAATGAGAAAACCTGATTAGGGCAAACCATTTAAACATAGCACCCTGCCTTGTCTGGGTTCACCACCTCTCCCCTTCCCAGACTAACTTACTGTGAAGTCCTACACATTCCATGTCTGAAGTGTTGGATTCGGGGTGGATTTTCCTGGACCATGGAAGAAGAACACATGGATCCCCTCGACTCTCACCCAAGTTGGCCACTCGTGCTAATCACTGTGGAAGTATGGTCGCTTTGACCCTTACCTCTTCACTCGGCGAGGACACAAGAGTGAGAGCATCACGCCCCCGCAGGATCACTGCACAGTCCTCCTACAGTATTTTGAAGTAGCCCTGTACATCTTTAATTTTACGCAAAATCCTTTGGCCGCACTTTTAAGGTTTTGTTTTGTTTTTAATATGTGCATAGTCACCAATTTAAAAACAAAAATCTGAACAGCATACTTGAAGAATGTAATACTCAAACTCAGTGCTTCCTTATGGTTTCTAATAGGATTTTTTATTGTTATTATTATTGGGTCTTTTTTTTTTTAAGGGTTGGGAGGGTCTTTTATTTTTCTTTTGAAATAAAGAAGTGATGTTTTTAAATGAAGAAATGTGTGGATACTTAGTGTGCTGTTCCCTCTTGTCTTGAAACAGTAAAGTAAGACTTGCTGTAAATGCTGCCCTCTGCTGCCCTTGTTTTGAAATGCAGCTTAAACTCCCTCCTCTGGCTGCTGCTGCTGCTTCTTGGTGCCCCTCCCACCCCTATACCGCCACTTTTGGGGCTTGGCTTGGCTTTATTGGAGAGGAAAGGGATGCGTGAAAGAGAGGGAAACTGTTTCCACAGCCAACATGGTAGGATAAGGGTTTTATTGGAGTCTTTTTAGCCCCAAGAAATGTCACCCCAATGACCTCTGACTGAAGGTGGTCTTTTAGGAAAATTGAGATGGTTATAAGAGTTCTAAATAATTTCTTATGTAATATTAATTTATTTTAACACCCCATAGTTACTGAAACCAAAGTGATGTGGAGTCTTCTGTTTGCATTTGGCCCCAGCATCCTTAATTTCAAAGCTTTATTCTGTCTGCCTAAGAGAATCAACTGAAGGGGATTTTTCCCTAAAGAGCAGAAAAGGAAATGTCAGAAGGGCCCAGGTTTGGGGTATGAACTTGGCCACTTCCTATTATTCTAGACTGATTTATTAGCATAAGTATGCCTAGTGAATACGTATAGACGGTTTAGAAAATGTAACTGAGCCTCCTTCCCTATTCTATAATCAATTGCATCCTCCTGGTGGAACTGGAACTTCAGAGGTTTGCCTGAAGAGCTTGGTTGATCCTTTCACATGTGGTGTTGGGGCACACCTGCTGTTCCTTCTTGGCCTCGGTTGGTGCAACCAAGTGATGAGCAAGGAGTATATAATATGTCCTGGAAAGTGTATCCGAGCATGTTCTGCATATTTTCCCCGTACCAGGAAATGCTTTTGGAATGAGACTAGCAATGCCCTGTCCCAAGAAGATGGTTTCTAGGACAGCTCTGGCCTCAGTCAGCATGTGGTTCCCATAGTCACTTTGATATTTTAACTCAGGTACCCCAATCTTTGCCCTACCCTCAGATGATTGTAGTACACCTTTTGGCCCTTTGGCCCTTTCAAAATTAGCACCCAGCGCAGGGACCACATGGGTGAGTTTTCTTTTAAAATATATTTGCAGCCAATTCATGTTCATGCCAAAAATAAATTGTTCCCAATCCTATTTACTTAAAGCATTGACTTTGCCTGGAAACATTGGGTGACCTTAGGCAGCAGTGCCAAGGGGCCCTTACGACTTAGTCACAGCAGCAGTTGCTCCTCCCTTTCTACTTTATGGAAATCACCGAGGAGAGATGAGAGCCCCACAGAGTTACTGAAAAGATGCGCTAGCTGCAGTCTTCCAGTTCTTTCTAAGGTACAACCTTTGTTTGCATCCCGAGCTGTGGAGAGGCTTGGTGGGCTCTGTCTGTGACAGATTTGGCCTCTGGAAGGCCTCGGGCGCTCCCAACCAAACAGGTCCACCAAACTAACTGTCCACCCTTCCTCAAAATGTCTAGGGAAAGCCCTCTAGTCCAGATCAGGCAAACTACTACTGACTCTCTAGCTTTCTTATTCCCATAACTGTTGACTAGACCCAGCAGTTGTCTGTTAATGCTTTGTAATCATGCATCTGGCTTCATGCCCTTCTCCGACTTTTTACTTCTGTTGTCCATCCCTCTTGAGTTGCTTTGCATCCAGGCCATCCTTCAACTCTCTTATCTATTCTAGGGAACCTCATTCTAATGGTTTAACTGTGGCTTTATGGTTGGAAACTTACCCTAGCTTTAATGCTTCTTCTCTTTAAAAGACTGTGTGCATTCCCCTTGAAATGAAGCATTCCTGGATTACTTCTAAGTGCTGGTGCCTCGTGGGGGAGGCTGTTTGATTGGGTTGGTCTGGGTGACTGTTTGAGCTGCAGAATGACTAACATTTTACATTCTTTGTTTTAATGATAGCTGAAGGGTATATCTACCTGCCCCAGTTTTAATTCCTTGATATATGTGGGTAAGTCAAAAATTATTGCTACTTGGGGTTCAAGTTCATGCATGGGTTCTTTTCCAAACATATCTTAATCTGTCTCTGGAATCAGTAAATAACTGCAGACAAATTCTCTCATTAATGCCTTTGTCTTAGTTTTGCTCAGGTGATTTAAAAAATTTTTAAAGGTCCAATTGAAACAATGACTTTCAAGGAAACCTGGGTCTATAAAAGACAGGGCTGAAAGGTCATCTCATTCAGTTATGGCAACTGTTTTTCAGGACTCCGAAGAGGCAGTCTTGACAGATTTTATCAAAGGACACAGGACAGTCATGGGACCTGTGGAGAAATGGGGAGGAAATGGGAAGCTGCATTGGTGAGAAAGAGGGTAGGACAGTTGTGCCAAGAAGTTTTTTCCAGGAGAGTAATGCTTCCACTCAGTCTCTGAGGGCAGTGAGGGCTGTGCATAGAATTGTGTGCAGATCCCTTCCCCCCCCCACCCTGCAGCCCTGATCGTGCTCCCGCGGACTTTTCTTTGGTCCCCAAACTCAACATGATTTGACCCCCTCAAAGGTGCCCAAATGGCTTTTTTAACATGGTATAAATAAAAATGTACGATTCTTTGGGGAAGGGTTAGAAAGAGCGGAACACAGCCTTCAGACGTGTATAGACTTAAATGGAAGATGTGTCAAGAAACTATAGGTTTGTATTTTGATGTTTTTGTTTGATAAGGACTTCTATGAGTTTGTAGCAGTATTTTCTGACTTACCCTCGTATATACTCATTGCATCCTAGCAAGGAAGGCTTTCTATTAAGAAACAAAAGTCGTCTGAACTCTGCTCAGAGTGGGTTCTCCACTCTCACCTGGACCTCCACTGCCTAATTGAGGCAAGACTCTGCTGACAAGGAAAACACTGGGATCAAGCCTTCCTTGCTAGCCATGTGTTGATGAACATATTTTCTTGTGCTCTTCACTGCAGGTGGTTTTGTTTCTGATACCACGTTTCTTTGCGGTACAATCAGATGAAATATTGACGTCCGAGTGAGTTCCAGTGAGGAACTGCCTTTCAGCTTTGGGGAATATGCATCCCAAACCAAACCAAACCAAACATTATAATAGAAAACTGACACAGGAAGAATTATGGTTCCCACACACCCATCCCCAACCCCAATAGAAATTGGGATTTTGAATGTGGCTCTAAGAGTTAACATTTCTGTCTGTGTGTTGTGTATGCTAGGTGATACCCTTAGTAGGCATTGACTACTAGACTGTAAGTGTGTATTATCAAAGTGTGTAAGAATAAAAACTCACTTGCACGGATTGAGAAGTACAGCAATGACACTTGTGAACGTGTGAACGTGAGCACTGTAGCTGATAGATCGTAAGCTGCTCTCTGCGGGGAGAGAGTCACGTGGATGTTGTGTCTGTTGCTGCAGATTCTCAGCAGCATTTTACTGTATATACAAACGGAAATAAAGACCTCAGCTACGAACATGGTGGTGAGACTCAGCTTTGTTTTGCTGTCTTTCTTTACAGATTCTGTGTCCAGTGACAAATTTTTCAATATAAAAACTTCCCATTATATTGTTCATTAGAGTGTGTGTGTGTGTGTGTGTGTGTGTGTGTGTGTGTGTTTATAGTCAGTGTACTGAAACTATAACTGATAGCCGGGTAGCTGTCACCATGTGACTGGCACTGTACCACAATTCTTAAAAAGTAGATGAGACTATCCCAAGTTCTTCGGAGAGTCATAGAAGCAGTGCCCCCCAAATTCAGTGTCTGTGACCCAAAACTTAGTATAATAATCCTTGTCCATACTTACAAGGCTTTACTAATGAACAAATGCTATGATGGGTATAAACATACCCAATTTCTGAACATCCAAAGGTATAATTTACAAACATGCAAATTTTTATGAAACTTGACATTCAAAGTTGTATATACATGAAGGAGTTACTAGCCAATGTAATTCCACCTGTCATTTTGTTAAAGAGGTTGGATTTCCATCAGGACTTTCCCCTTTAGTGATCTCTGGAAGACTTACAGACATCCATAAATAAGCTCTAGTACAGATTCTTGACTTTGATGGAGTACAAAGTAGGGACCTGATGACTTAGTATAGGCCCATGTGGATGTTGAGAAATTTGAGTCACCCTTCTGACTAATGAGCTCTGTGCCTCTTATGCCATGGATAAACTCGGCACATAAACCCATCTAGATGTTACCTATTGTGAAAGTCGGGGTGCCTCTTGAGAAAGTGTTCAAATGAGCTGGGAGAGTGCCATTAAGCTTTGTGAAATGGGGGCCAGGTGGCCATGTACAGATGCTCAGGTGGTTCATTGCCCAACCCAAAGGGCTTCCTATTAGGCAGCAAAAAGAATGACCCATCCCAGAGCTGTACAATATGTAATAGGCACCAGAGCAGTCCTGACTATACTTGCTTCAAAGTCTGTTTCATTGTCAACCACTGAAAATTGAGAGTGGAAACCTGGTAACATAAACCTCAGAAGCTGCTTGCTAGATGAAAAATGGGATCAGGGAGTTAAGTGGGGGAGGCGGGTATGCCAAATAGAAAGTATATTCCTCTCCTAAAGGAACCGATCACCTTTTTAAACGGCGCGGGCCAGACTGAACACGTCACCACCACATGACTCCTCATCTGGATAATGAAGAGGAGCCAACAGTTATGGGGTACTTGGTACTGAGGTGCAGTTATATATAGCACTTAATTCTTCCAACAAGATTGTTGGAAGCTACTATGCTCAGAGATAGGAAACACAAGTAAAATGGCTTACCCAAAATTAGTTAGTAAATGGAAAATAAATGGGATGAAAAACATTACTATGCAATATATGTAACGAGATGGGTGTCTGCAATAAATGAGTTGCTACAAACCAATAGTCAACGTAGTAGGAAAAGAGGCAAAAGTCAAACAAATCACATAAAAAGCAAATCCCAATAGGCATTCAAAAATGTTCGGCTTCAAGCTTAATCTGTGCAGTCAGTGAAAAAAAGGCCAATTGTGGAACAGTATATTCCACTTAGGTTGAAAATATTTTGTATAAAGGGGTGTGTGTGTAATGTATAAAAACTGCACATGAAACTCACTCCTTAGGGATTATAGCTGAATGGTGGAGAAGCAGGACAAGCAGAAGCTTGACTACTATAAAATATTAATCTCTGAAGAGGAATGTGTTTTGTGTATTTTTAAATTAAGAACATCAACACTTCTGGTCCAACTCGTGCTCAAAACCTAACGCCCTTGAATTTTTCACCTCCATTGACGTTTACTGATTTGTAGCGGCTCATACTGTGGAGGACTTTGGTGTGTCCATGTTTTATCCTCAGCCTGGAACATTGCCTGGCCCAGACTGATGTTCATTAAAAGGCGGAATTTAAAAATCACTATTAATTGAATCCCTAGACTGTGCCAGGCATGGTGCCACATGTTTGGCTTCTAGTTCTTACAACTTCTCTGAAGGGGAACGACTAGGAGTTCCACTTTATGGATGAAAGCAGCAGTCAGGCTGGGTTTTATCTGCTAGACCAGTCATCTCACTAGTAAATGGCAGGGCCAGGATTTAAACCAGATGGAGCTGGACTCAGGCTTGTGTTGTTTTTACGATTCCATTTTGTTGGACAAGAAATCAAAACTTGTGAATTTTAGGCTTTGTGCAACTTTGAGGATACAAGTCACTTAATTTTTCTGGAACTCATTTTCTTTAGTGTAGCGAGTGTGACCTAAGTCACGTTAGTTCCCTGACAGCAATATTAATATCTTAACACTAACATCTTCATATTAGTATCTTAACACCCAGTTCATATATCCTGAGAGGGTTAAATAGCTAAAGAAAAGAAGGTGAGAGTTTGTCATTGAGATCTAGGCAGAAACCATAATTTGGCTGTATATGTGAGAAAGGGAAAGAAGCAAGGTGGGATTTGAAGGCAAAGTAATGAAATGTCAATGTTATACCTCTAGCTGCTATATTCTCTAACAAATATTTCATTAACCAAAAAATAACAACATAAGGAATCATTAGGCAAATTCTCTACAATATCTACACAGGGTTCTCATTGAGCACACAAGATGTCTTTGAGAAAAAGTCTTCAAAAGAAAAACTAGAATTGGTTTCTATCCAATTTAGTTTTTGATGTACGGTAATTATAAACACCTGCATTGAGATAACAGAAGTAGTTGGAAAACTGTCAAGTTTTCTCCTTGTGTCCTTTATAAACAAAATAATAGTTGATTTTCAAGCACAAAATATAAGGATTTCAGACATCAAGTCACAACGTTTCATCCACTTTAAAGGCCCTAGCAGGTAGTATGGAGTCGGGTAATGCAAATGGTTAACACACACAGCAGCTAACTCAAAGTGTGGTGGTTTGAGCCCACCCAGAGGTCTTACAACAGTGGTGCTCAACCTTCATAATGCCGTGACCCTTATAATACAGTTTTTCATGTTGTGACCCCCCCAACCATAAAATTATTTTCATTGCTACTTCATAACTAATTTTGCTACTGTTATGAATCAGGATACCCCTATGAAAGGGTCGTTCGACCCCCAAAGGGGTTGCAACCCACAGGTTGAGAACCACTGTCTTAGAAGAAAGGCCTGGTGAGCTGCTACTGAAAGATCATAGCTAATGGGAACCCTGCAGAGCCCAGGTCTACTCTTGACACACATGGGCCACCATGAGTTGGCTGATTCAACAGCAGCGTTCTAATGAATATGTAATTCACCTTCATTTTAAGATGTATATATATATATATATGCACATACATGTATATTTGTTAACTTGCCAGTGAAGCTCTTCCTTACATACCTTACATACCTTACTAGAGTATAAGCTGACCCGAATATCAGCCGAGGCACCTAATTTCCCCACAAAAACTGCATTAAAAACGTGCTGAAAACTCAGCTTATACATCAACAAAAGTTAAAACCTAACTACAAATTCTGTAACCATGGGCAGCATCGTCCTCCTTGCTCAGGCAGCCTCTCTTGACCTTTAAATAAAGACCCTGAGTCACACTGTTTTAAGCACTGAAACCACTATTTTCTTTGACTGATTTTCATTAAAAATCCTCTGAAATATGTATAACATACTGATTTAATTGTGATGATCAGTCATTGTATTTCTATTTTTTTTAAATAATGGACTTATTGAAATATAATTCATATAATACAATTCATAGGCCATACAGTTCACTCATTTAAGATGTAAAATTCATCGGTTTATAGTATATTTACAGATATGCGAAATCATCTCATCATCAATTTAGAATATTTTCATCATCTCTTGTGCTTACAAGAGGCATACCTTATACCAAAGGAAACCAAATAGATCATGAAAGGATGGAAAAGGGGAGAGAGGAGATCTCCTTGTAATATCAGACAAAGTAGATTTCAAGACAAAGTATGTTAGAAGAGAGAAAGATGGACATACAACAAAAGGGTGCATTTATCCAGATGACTTAGCAGTCAATATGCATGTGCCCAACATCAGAGCACCTAACAATAAACAGGAAATACTGATGGAATTGAAGGGGCAAACAGGTAGCACTGCAGTAATGGTTAGAAACTTGCATACACGACCTTTAATATGGAGCAGAACATCTAGAAAGATCAGTGAGGAAACAAAGGCCCTGAACGACACTAGGGACCACTCGGCCCAGCAACCACACATCAATACATTGTAGTCCAGTGCACATTCTCCAGGTGAGACCACATGTGAGGTCACAAAGCAAGTCTGGGTAAATTCAAGACTGAGAACACAAAGTATTTTCTCTAACCACAACGGAGAGCGGCTAGAAGTCGATGACAGAAAAAGGAAAGGAAAACCTCACAAGCGTGGAAAGTAAACGACCAGTGGGTCAAGGGAGAAAGCACAACGTTCTTAAGAGTCAGACACAAATGAAACACAATACAACTTAGGCTATGTAGTGAAGGCAGTTCTCACGGGGAAATTTAAAGCGATACATGCCTACATGAAAAAAGAATGAATCAATAGCCTAAGTCAGCAACTCCAGGAACTAGAAAGGGAAGAGCAAACCGTGAAAATCTACTAGAAGAAAGAAAATAACGAGCAGCAGAGCAGAAATAAAATAGTGAACAGAAAAACGGTAAGAAACCAGAAGTTAGAGCTATAAGAGCCCCCCCAATAAAATGATTTAAAATGTTTTTTAAAAGGAAACCAGAAGTTTATTTTTTTTTAAGATCAATAAAATTAGTAAATCTTTAGCTAGACTGACAACAAAAGAATGCTAATAACCAAAATAAGCCATGTCAGAGGGGACATTACAACTGACCTGATAGAAATAGCAAGTATAGACAACTGTGTGACAAACTGGATAACCAAGGTGAAATGGATAAATGCTTAAAAGCACACAACTTACCCAAACGGAATCAAAAGGAAATAGAAGGTCTCAACCAATCCATAAAAGTGAAGAACTTTAATCAATGATCAAATACTTCCCAACAAAAATAA